AATGCTCCTGTCTCCCCCACATCCTTGGCTGACTGACTCAGACCGTGTTACACAGTCCCCCAAATGTAGCCAAAGATACATTTAATTGGGACGGATGGCAGCGACAGACATGAAGTCGGCGTGTTTGTCCGGCCATTGGGGTCACGCCGCTGTCGGAACGCCCCGCCCCGCTGGCTACAGGCCTCACTCTCTCTGTCTCTCCCGTCTTTACAGATGCAGAGATTCCCACATGATCTTTAAAATGCCATATTCTCAGCTCCTGTAATGCGGGGTCAATGCTGAGTATGTGATCACTTTTTTTTTTTTGCCCCTCGTGATTTGATTTGTATTTATTTCGTATTGTTTTACACAATGGTAAACCGCTGTAAAACACATTTCATCCCAGGAGTTTCTGTCGAGTCAGCACGCGGTGTCTGCTTTTCCAGACGCTTCTATTCCCGCGTCATGTACAACGTATCGCCGCTTATACAGCCGTCGGCTTCGGAAACGTGCCTTTCCAGGACGGAGGGATAAATGTAAGATGACAAATTCCCCTTTACTGTATCCCTCGGACATCTGGGCCACCGGTCCCAGCCAGTACCGTGTTCCCGGGTTAATAAGACCCAACGGATCTCGGGGCCAGAGTCTCTGTGAAGGTTGATGCTGATCAAAGAGGGTGAGAAACCAGCAAGAAAACGACATGGTTTTTTTTTAAGGTGTGAGATGTTAGAGGTTATGTGGGGGGGGTTCGGGTGAGGGAAGCAGATCCATCTGGACAGAAACCCCCCCCCCCCCAAACACACACACACATCTGCTTTACATTTCTCAGGCCGCAGAATACAATACCCAGGAGCTGAGTGACAGAATTAACCGGGGGGGAACAGCCGGGGTTTCTCTTTCATTTCTTGTTTTTATTTTTCCAGTACGAAGCGTTGCAGGGAATGAGTAAGGAAAAATAAAGAGATGCTCCTAAATATTGTCTCTAAAACTGGTAAAAAATAAATAAATGACTATTTCTTCTTCCCGACAAAAACTGGAGGCTGCTTTTTCATGCCTTTGCAGTTATGTTCCTTTCAGCACTTGGGGAAGCCGCAGTGTGACTCTCCGGGCCGGCTGCACGGCCAGGCTCTCTCCATACGGTGGTTGGGCCGTTCCCAAGCGATACGAAAGTCTCACATGACCTTTACTCGCCAAGTTTGCATGAGTGTGTGTGCAGGAGGGGGCTTCGCCTAATTTCTGGGTGTTCTGGCAGGGCAGAGGACAAAAAGACTGATTTATGAAAGAAAAACACCATTCCACTCTCCTCCAGCCAGGGCGATTTTTCTGAGTCTTCTCAGCGGTACTTAAATGTACTATTTCAGTTGAACCCCTTTGTTGTTGAATCTGGGGAAGGTGAGGTTGTGCTTTGTGGCCAAAATTAGAGCGATTTCCTCAAAACAGCTCAGCAAGATGACTTCATGGGATCAAAAGGCGAAAAAAAAAAAGTTTTTGTTCTGGTTCATAAAAGGAGTGGCTAATTAAGAAGAATGTCAGCAGACAGTCGGCAACGGTGAACCCTGCCTCCATTTCCATGTGAACTGATTGAGATGTATATTAAAAAGAACAGCAGAGCTGCCGCATGCCCGCCTGTGCCCGCCTGTGTCCGCCTGTGCGCGTGTGCCTCTTCCTAATGAGATTACATTAATTGGACCGTGCTTGTTTTTGGGCCCAGTGATGATGGGATTTAGCTGCCTTAAGACTCACGGTTTTGCACGTCACTTCATCCTGCTAAATGAAATCAGGGGCCTCGTGTTGTCAGGTATTTCCGGCAATTAAACCAGAGCAGGATTATGAAAGTATGAGCGTCCACTTCACTGTACACTGTCCACTTCACTGTACACTGTCCACTTCACTGTACACTGCATAGCATCTGGGCTTTCTGCACTGTGTAGGACTTCTACACCGTTCCTGCCTGCCTAGGATAGGATCACATGCAAGCCAGGTCACGCTGCCTTACTCCTCTACAAGTTCCTGCTTTGTTTACCAACATCCCGTTTCATCATCTGTCTTTGTCATTTTAAAAATGTTACTTCTCTGTACTTGTATTTCAAAGTGTCTTTTATAATTTTAATCATGTATCGTGTTGTAGCCACTCTACAGACAAGTGGTGAACAGCAATTCGCCATTTTTGATTGAGGAAATATGTCATGCTAACTATAGTAAAAGTGCACATTTGTATACAAGTTAATGTTAATCAGAAACGTGGAGTCAATGATGTACGGTGGATTAATGTTGTCAAAAGTCCGTTTGTTCACTTTGAGCCCTATTATAATGGAGTATTTAAATCTGCGCAGAGTAAACTTAGCGGCTGCTCCATCTGTCTTTTATTTGCGTAAAATAATAACAGACTGCAGGCTTTCGTGTGCAGTTATGGTTCAGGCCTGAAAGACGTGCGTCTGTGTGTGTATGGGATCATGCGGGCCTTCCAGCAAACGATGGTGCCATCATAAACCGTGACAAGTTTGGGCCCATCCGTTCGTCACTAGAGCCTACAGCCAAATGAAATTCTGTCCTTTCCCTCTTCCATGGCAGAATGTTTTATCTTAGTATCAGCCTCTCCCACTCCCCGAGAGCACGAGCTTGCCAGGTCCCGGAGTAGCATGGAGAGGTCACCGTCTGTCCAGGTGACAGGGGCGGTGGAGATTGTGTGGTGGTAGGAACAAGCCCTCCCTGGCGGGCGTCCCCTGTGCAGGCGTGTCGACTTGCGGGAGTCCTCTGCATTCGTACATGAGACTCATTGTGGCAGGAACCCAACAAACCTGCCCGGGGGCCATGGTTTTGTCTGCGGAGTGTTGCGTAAGAGCCCAGGTGCTGAGCAGGTGTGACTGATGGGGAAGGCGGGGCGGGGCGGGGGCGTGGTGAACGCTCTTTCTGTGGGAGCATGGCGTCCTCCTCTTACTGGCAGTGGAAAGTGTTCCCCTCTGGGTCCCTGAGCTCCATCGACTGTGAGCCAGGGGGCTTTTGGAAGCAGCGACTCCCCAAAGGCGCCCAGTATGTCGCCAGCTCGGCCCGGATTTGTCCGGAATCGCCGCACGGATCCACGAGTTCCCCGGGACTATTTTGATGTCGCAGAGTGAAACAGAGAGGAAAGCTCTGCATTTATTCACAAACCCCCCCCCCCATTTTTAATTTTTTTTTGAAAAGCCAGATCAGTTGTCAGTGGCTGATTGAATCCCAAATCTTCACAATGCACAGTTGAATTTAATAATATATATTTTTCCTTTGATAAAGCAGTACATAAGTTCAGGGCTCTGATGAAAGCTCTTGTATTGAACTCGTTCTTCTCTGCTGGAACCCCCCCCCAGCCCCCCATTTTTTTCATATCATGAGGAAGGAATGGGGTTGCAGGGAAATGGCAAAATTGCTCAGCTGTCCCGCTCGATACAGCGCTGCCAACAATCTGTATCCCTCTTAGTCCGGTTTTCTTTGTCGCGTCATTGCGGGCGATTTCAAAACAAAAACAAAACAGCAGGGATGTTTCAGCTCTATCTGTAACTCTGCTCGATGCCATAATGCTCCCTTTGCTGCTTACAGACCTCCACCATTTTAAACTCAGTCCAGGTGACTGCATGCGGGACCCCGGCACTATTCAAAACGGTTGCCAGATTTAAGAGGAGGATTCATTCATTCTCAAGCCCCGATTTTCCTCATTTTATTTCCTCACAGGCTATTCGCTGCACTTTGGTGAACTGCAACTGTGAGAGTTTTAAGCCTGGAAAACTGAAGCGGAGACAGTGTGAGCACTGCAGGCATGGGTGGGTGGCACACGGTAAGTCGGACACGCCTCGCCTCGCCGGGGGCACGCACGCCTCGCCTCGCTGCCTCCGTTTCTTTGTGTGTCCATCTTTAGGAATCCCTCCCCCATCTCATTTCCAGCACTGAGCAAGCTGAAGGTGAGCCACACGTACCAAAGCAGCCAGGTGGAGATCGTCCACTCCAACGTGGTGTTCGACATCAGCAGCCTGATGCTCTACGGCACGCAGGCCGTCCCCGTCAGGCTGAAGATCCTGCTGGACCGCCTCTTCAGCGTCCTCAAACAGGATGAAGTTGTCCAGATCCTCAACGCGTTGGACTGGACACTACAGGACTATATCAGGGGATATGTGCTGCAGGTGAGACACTCAACTCTCACAGCCGCTGGGATCAAACAACAAACCACCACGGTGATTAGTAAGTCTAGGTCCGCTTTGGCTGCTTTGCGGGAAGCATAATGAGTTGCCTGATGAGTAACTAATGAGTCCATGCCACACATAGGATGACTGTTTCACTCCTCCCCCCCAAAAAAACATTTGCATTTGACAAATATCACTGCGTAAAGGCTCGTACGAGGTTATACCCCCAGCTGTCTCCGTCATGTTGACTTTTAACATCACAAATTCCGCTTGTTGCATTTAATTCTTGTTAGCAAATGTGGAAAAAAAACCTCCACAGAGCCATCAAATGAATGCCGTATGATAAATTATTTATCCTGGTTACAGCTTGTAGCTGGAGCTCAACTATCAAAGGCCGGTAGTGTTCGCATGTAATTACAGCTAGCTTGATGACTACAGTCACTGGATCAATGACGAATTCATCCTCCTGAGATGTTAATCCTGCCCCCTTGCATCTAATTGGACAAAAATGAAAATAAGCATGCTTAATTTATTAGTATCTTCCCTTTTCTGTATTTGTGTAAGTTTGTGACGTACAATTACATTTTATGGGGAAACTTGGTAGCACTTGCATTCTGGAAGGTTCAGCAATGATAGACATTAACAGGAATATCTTCTCGTTCTCCAGGATGTTACTGGAAAGGTGCTGGACCGCTGGGTTATCATGACCTTCGAGGAGGAGATTGCCACTCTGCAGCAGTTCCTGCGTTTTGGAGAGACAAAGTCCATTGTGGAGCTGATGGCCATCCAGGACAAGGAGGGTCAGGTTGTTGCTGTGCCGAGCAGCAGGACGAACTCGGACATCCGGGCTTTTATCGAGAACACCACCCAGCATGGCCCCAGCCTCCCCGCCAAGGTGGAGAAGCCTGGCTCGGGCAGCGTGCACCACTTTGAAAACTTCATCAACAATATGGCCTTCATGTTGCCCTTCCAATTCCTGAGCCCTGTTCCTGCACCCCTCCTGGGTGCTTCCCCAAGTTCTTTCCTGGTGGAGCAGGACCAAAGGCGAGAGCAGCGCTGTCATCCTGAGGAACCCATCCCCACCATCGAGAGTGGCCTCCTGGGATCCGGCTCAACCCCTTTCTCATCGGACACTGAGAGGACAGACCATGGCTCAGATACTGCACCCACCAAGGTCGAGCCCGAAGACTTCTCCACCGGTGACAACTACTCAGATGCACCCTCCACACCTTGCACGCCTTCCATGACCTCTGACATCACTCAGATGTCTCCTGAGAGTAAGATGAGGTCTTTGGAGAAGAGTGCAGGTGGGCTGAAGAAGGGCCGCGTGTTCTGCAGTGCCTGCGAGAAGACATTTTACGACAAGGGGACCCTGAAGATACACTACAATGCTGTACACCTCAAGATCAAGCACAAGTGTACTATTGAGGGCTGCAACATGGTGTTCAGCTCGCTGCGCAGCCGCAACCGACACAGCGCCAACCCCAACCCGCGGTTGCACATGCCCATGAACCGCAACAACCGTGACAAAGACCTGAGGAACAGCCTGTCGGCGGATGAGGCATCAGAGGGCGAACGGAGGACCGAATATGGTGTTGGAGCCGAGAGCAGGCAAGTGTCCAGCTACCTGGTGAATAACACGGAGCCCAAGCTACAAGGCACATTTCCCAGCATCAGCCAGAGTGGCATTCTATTCCCCAACCTAAAGACGGTGCAGCCCGTCCTGCCGTTCTACCGCAGTCTGGTGACACCCGCTGAGCTCGCCAACACACCTAGCACGCTGCCTTCACTGCCACTCATCTCTTCATCGGTGCCCTTGAAGCCCGTCGCCACCGAGGCATCCCTAGATCCCGTGCCTAAGAAGAAGTCCCGCAAGTCTAGCATGCCCATCAAAATTGAGAAGGAGACGACAGCGGCTGAGGACCCAGCCGAGGAAAGTGGCTCCGATGATGAGATTGGCTCACGCAGCCTGGACAAGGTGGACCACGACGGAGGGACCTATGGGCAAAAGAAGGCAGTGAGGGGCAGCACCGAAGCTGGCACTGTGGGGGTCATCCAGCCCACGGACCGGGAACCACACTTAGCTCCTTCCCAGAGACCATTAGACTTCAGGTCCAACACAGACCTGGATGACGGTCTGGGCCGCATGGAAGGAAGCATAATCACCTGTACGTCTCCTTGTGACACTAAGCACAAGGAGAACCAGAATCTCATGGGTGTGCCGCTAATGCCCGGAGCTGAGGACAACAACGACGGTACCCTTGAGCCCACTGACTTCACTGAGGGCAACCATGGAGCGGTCAACGGGGACCTGTTCAACAACAAGGAGGCCCCAGATGTCTACATGGAGGAGTATGGGGACGTCTTCCTCCGGCTGGACAGGGAGGACGTACCCCATCACTGTGAGATCTGCAGAAAGACATTCAAGAACCCCTACAGCGTCAAAATGCATTACCGAAACGTGCACCTGAAGGAGATGCACATGTGCACCGTGGATGGCTGTAATGCCGCCTTTCCCTCCAGGAGAAGCAGAGACAGGTGAGAGAGCAGCAAAATGTCCCTCTTAAGAGCCAGCGAGGCATGCATTTGACACATCAGTGTTTGAAGCAGCGAGCGTGGAAGCGGTTGTTCTCCACGACTAATACGTTAATGTGCGTGACTTCACCAGGCATCTCATTTTTATCTGTTATGACCTTTAGGCACAGCGCAAACATGAATCTGCACCACAAGCTGTTGACCAAAGACCACTATGGAACGCCAAGCACAGTGTGCTCCTCCTCCTCCCCTTTCAGAGATGTGGCTGGTGTCTTTCATCAGGACTTCCCACTAAAAGACCCCATCGGGCAAACCTCGGTGATCTTCAAAGGGAGCAACCGGATGGGCTTGGTCTACCCCATGAGCAAGAGCACTGACTGCGGGATGGATCCAGCCGCAGAGAGCAGTGGGGAGGGCGAGGCCGTGCTGGACCTCAGTACCACATCCGCCTCCCGCTCGGGTGGCAGTGTGCGTTCCTGGGACTCGGACCGGAGCAGCGAGGAGGGCCTGCCTGTAGAGGACAGTGACGAGGGCTGCGAGGAGATGATCCAGGAGTCCAAAGTGGACAACCACTCCAGCCTGGCCGAGAGGCCCAGTGATTCTCCCATTACCTGCCACCTCTGCCAGAAGGTGTACAGCAACAAGGGCACGTTCAGGGCTCACTACAAGACTGTGCATCTCAGGCTGCTCCACAAATGCAAAGTTCCTGGATGCGACACGTCATTCTCGTCTGTACGGAGTCGGAACCGACATAGCCAGAACCCCAACTTGCACAGGAACTTGACCCCGACGATGGTTCATGGCAAAGAGTAGCTTTCAGAAAGGTCACTTACTTGATTTGACTTTCATTTTTAATCACAATGCTCATATTTGCAAGTATTTTGTAAAAATATCCATGTAAAAAAAAAAAGTTTTAATCATGGTAGTTATTCCTTCTCACCCAAAACACACAGGTCTAGTCCTTCTTTATCAGCAATAAATTAAATGTTTCGTACAAACGTTACCTTTTGCGGTACATGTGGTTCTGTTTAACTTATATCGGTCATTTTCTGTCTAGACAGTGAAGGCCGTCGATTTCATTGTGTTTTCAGCGTGATTAGATTGTCAGTCAAACGTAAATCTCAAATTAGAACCGGAAAATGGTGAATTTCTGACACCAGTATAATGCTTAGCTTGACAGAAATCTCTTCCCACCAAAGCGATTGGTAGCGGTGCTCAGAATGAGGCATGTTCATAAAAATCGGACTTAATTTGTTTCAGTAACGGAACATGATTATTACAATTAACTTATGTTTAAACGTTAACATAGAAATGTGATTTCCAAGTACCTCAAAACGGATTAGGTCTTTAATGTTAAGAAAATAATATAGATGTCTGTGAAGGTGGAAGTGAGTTTTTTTTTTTTTTTTGTTAAAGTTGTATTATTCAAATGACATTCACTTTTAAGTTCTATGCACTTACGTAAAGATCGAGACACGGTTTGCCTTACCTGTGTCTCACAGACAAAGTCCAGCGACTCGGGAAACTGCCGCATTGGTACCAGTGTGTCCACCAGCATTTTAAGTTAAAGCTGTTGAAATGACTCCAACTGTGTTCTTGTTGGTTCCTATTCCGCTGTTTTCCCGTGAAAGGGGTTATTCAGAAACAGCAGTACAGCCTCAGCTGCGGCCGATTAAGACGCAAAAATTGAAAACTCGGTTAAAAAATTGTACGTGTTGTGCACGTGCTGAGTGAGTTATTGTTTGCTGTCGTGTGGACTCTCCTCATCTCCTCCTCTCATCCTAATCTCCTCCTTTCGTGTTGTTCATGTTGTTGTTCGGAAGGCTAAAGGTGACCAAAGATTTGTTTCATGAGGCCTGTAAAACACCCTCATATATGAGACAAGCAGTATTATACATCCATCTCAGACCGTTTAAGTCATTTTCCAAGCTGTCCGAAAATGCATCGTGGCTGATGTAACAGGATGGCTTGGTTTCAACTAAAAGGAAACTGTAAACTGTAAATTATTAAAAGAATTGTATATTTTTCAAGGTTCCTTTTTTCCTAAACCACAACTAAGGTGTTATTTCACTTCTAAGGATTTTCTTAAGCACTGAAACAGGTGTGAACGGACCGATATCTCTGTTGCGATCCTTGTGGATATGTTTCGTAATTTAAAACGCACATGAGAGGGGGGGGCTCCTGTCATTACGGAAACAGACGTGGGCTGTGTTACGATTAATCCCAAAAAACAAGGTACTGTAAGAGATCGGCACGGAGGAAGAGAAAGCGACAGAGTGACCCGAACCACAACGGGTCAGGTACGCAAACGATTAAGTATTCTTTTTTTTTTAATGTTAGAATTTGTACTATGAAAGCAACCAAAAATTACAATAATTTGGAAGAGTTATTTGCATTATTACTGCTTTCTTAATGTTTAATGTACGACTGGAACCGATTTCTCAGAGAAACATTTCATTGTTAAATTTTCGCGCTATAGCTTTTTTTTGGCTGAAGTGGAATACATTGGAGAAGTTTCAAGTTATGATTTGTAAAAAAAAATTGAATCTCATGTTAAATGTTGAAATGTTTCTGATTTATTGTAACAGTATTCTTGCTAAATAAAAAGCCATATGTTTGCATGTTTTTTGTTTTGTTTGTCTCAATTATATATAAAATGCTTTATACGCGAACGTGTAGAGGATTGCATTAAGGCACATAAAATGGCTTTAAAACGTTTCATTAAAAGCTGTTCAATAAAACGTGGTTTACAGCTGTGTATTCTTTTACTTGTCCTCTGAATGTTAGAAATGCACACAAAAAAATCGATTTCTGCTGATGCATGCAGAACTTGTTACTCGACTTCTTACGACGCCTTATAGACTTAAAAAGACCGTGTAACACTGAGAAGACACGGATACAGGTTTAATACATTATAGATAAATACGAGGTAGCCCTCCACTCCCTTGGTGTGCTGCTGTTGTATGTCGGTACACGTTTTGCGGGGGGGCGCGCTGTCGCCGCGCAGTTCTGCACCGATCCCGGACAAGGAGTTACTACCTAAGACCGTGTCACTTTGTTAAGAGGGTTATGAAATCCTAACCAGAGAGGGTCGTAAAACATACTGTTTCTGCCTGGATAGCCCGTCTGGTCGTGTAATATCGCAAAATAGAGAAGTGCGGATACTCAAAAAGCACTATAAGCTGAAACACACGAAATACTTAGCGGTTACTGAGAACCCAGCACTATAATTTACATTTGTATAGACCTATTCATCGCCACTTCAAGCACTGAAAAGCAAATCCTAATATGTATATTAGGATAATTTACTGCTGCCGTGGCGTTATATTACCCCCTCTAAAGCTTGGGAATTATAAATACAGTCAGTCCTCCGCACAATATCCAGTTGCGAGTGCGCAGCGTTTAAAACACCTGATGTTTAATGTTTGAAGGATTTCAGGAGGTGCCCTGACCTCCCCTGCTGCGCAACGGCTGGGATGTGATGTACTGTGTGTGTATGTGTGTGTGTGTGTGTGTGTATGTATGTATATATATATATATATATATATATATA